TAATCCTAATCCTTCAAATAAATGATCTGATATGTCAAGGCTATTAGCCCACACGGATTTCTTGTCCTCAAACCGTAACCATAAGATAAGAATGAAACAGTTGATCTAATTTCTGTATAACTGATCCAAAAATCCGTATGGTTAGATTCGTGAACTAAAGGACCAAAACGTCTAATAAATAAGAAATTACAATATATGCCAAGTTAGCGCATTTAAAATACAAATCAGAATAATAGGCTTGTAATTAATTTTCAGTAATTTTAGAATGGAAAAAGATATGGCAAGAGTTTTTAAATCAAACGAAGACATATGACTGAAAAAATCAAATAAACTAATTATCGGAAGGGGGTTTTGTGGAGATTTTAGTAATTTTATGTAGTTGAGATTATGAGTCAATTGAAGCTAGACTACCATGGAATACCTGAAGCACTGGACGGCCGTTTCGTCCAATTGTGGGACTCCTTAACAGTGCGCATCCACGATCCCGCCCCTCGAGATTCGAACTCAGGACCTACCAGTCTCGCGCCAGTGCACTTAACCGATAGACCACTGACCCGGCATCCAACTACTACAGTGGTACATGCTACTTTTGTCGACAGATATAAGTAGTATATAACATCAATCAGAAGATGCCTGGCAGAAGTTGGGAAGGTCGAATCGAAGAGAACAGAGAGTAATTGTAATAGCAATGAAGGAAGGATGAAGTTTGAGTCAATTGATGGAAGATTTGCGAATGCTATATTTAATGTATGGTTTTCATATTTTACCAAATACCGGTACTACTACTAATACTGATACTAAAACTTATCTCGAACACATCCTTGGAAACGATATACAATTTATTGGGATAAAAATGACTATTTATATGAAAACTAGTACTCTTTTTGTTATTTCCGTCAACAATGAACAGTTAGATAACCTAATTTTAACGAGCTTTAGCGATTTATTTTAAATTAAAAATTGAAAAATAAAACCATTTAAAATTTTTCAGTACTTCTGAATTATAAAAGAATGACATGTCACTGTTGCAGAATAAACAGAAGTCTATATGGGTCCTATGTACCGGATTTGTAGTGCTATTCATTTAATTCCTTGAAGTTATTTCTAAGAATGTTATACATGTAAAGATAAAAGTTTCTTTCCTACTGACAGAGGTTTAACCGAGTTGAACCTACCATAAATATCGTCTATTGCTTTATGGAATATTTTATTAGCAATACCCAAATGATGATTGAGTCATAAGCGGCCATCTATATTCATTATCTATTAATTGTAGATTCATTTTACATCAAATAACATTTCATAGAATGAGGTTAACTAACTCCATATATTTCTCATTTTGGTAAATGCATTCATCAATCAAGTGAATATTATATTAAGCATTATGGAGAAAGTGATTACTAAAATCTGGTTAGGCCACATGAATTTTGATAGTTTTCGTATACTGAACACATAAAAACAGAATAAATGTTTTCAAAAGTGGCTAGGATTTTTATACCAACCAACAGAACTTCCTTAGATCAGCATTACTTATGATATCGACAATATAGTCGATTTCTTATTTTCTATGTGTATTATGGACGATCTACATGTTGGTTAACAATTTTCACTGATTTTCATAGTTGAAATCATGAGTCAATTGAATCTAGACCACCGTGGAAAACCTACAAGCACTGGACTGCCGTTTCGTCCTATTACGTGACTCCTCAGCAGTGCGCATTCACTAAGTCATTAAATGTCTATACAGAATTTTAAATAGTAAATAATATGGTCATTGAAATCATTCAAAAGTTCTAAAGTAGTTTGTAACGTAAAGGAAAGGGTTTTTTAAACAAGAACGACAAATAATGTAGTATGTCACACATTCACTTGATTCCCTGTTCTCTAAACCATTCATATAAGCAATAACTTTATGAATGCAATATTCAACGAATGTAAACGTAAACAGTTTTAAAAGATAAAGTATCGTGTAATTTTAAATAGTTGAGATCATTAGTCAATTGAAGCTAGATTACCATGGAAAACCTGGAAGAACTGGACGGCCGTTTCGTCCTATTGTGGGACTCCTCAGAAGTGCGCATCCACGATCCCGCCTCGCCAGATCCGAACTCAAGACCTATCAGTCTCGCGCGCGAGCGCTTAACCTCTAGAACACTTAGCCGGCATTCAACGGTATTAATATCTAACTTCAACCAATCCACGAAATTGAGCAACCATTCGTGTAATTGTTTGACATACATCAGTTATTATTAGAAATTTACATTCTTTCTTTTACTTTGAGTGTTCATTATTACATATTACGTCACTTCTTCAATAATACTTATTTGTTTTTGTGTTCAAGATGTTCCTACCCACTCCAATGACCTTCAAAGTGATCTTAATTTATACTCGTCTACAGAGTAGAAGCAAACTGATGTCTAACTAAAATTACTTGCAATTCAGACTACTAATCTTTAGATATTAACTAACTCATGCTAATACTATTCTTTAATACATCTATATTACTGAATGGTGTTCCCTTATTCATCATCAACTCAATCATTATAAATTTCAAATAGTTATCTTCAGTATGAAACATGAAAACAAAGTCTAAAACACTGTGTGGATCATAATCACTTTCTAAAATATATGAGCTAAGTATTTATATTTTATTATATCTGGCTATTTTTGATACATCATTGATACGAATGCTTTAACTGTGATAAATCTAAACTTAGTCATCAATAAGTCCCTATCACTGATCTGTCATAAAAGAATGGTAGTCCAAAGATAACCACTTGATATATAGACTGAAATTTACAAAACACGTCTTTTCTTTCACGTTTCATAAATTAAAGTTGTCAATTCTGTACAAAACAAAAAGATAGTAGTATTCTGTATCTAACAGGTACTCGACAAAACTATTTTAACAATGAAATGCAATAATCTTTGTGAAGTTCTAAGTATTTCTAATATTTTCACGTCAAACCATACTACACTACAGAATCAGTATTAAGTTTACATGAATAGAATTCTCCGATTTCAATTCTTATTAACTGTTCTGTATACACTGAAACGGTAGCAAAATTAGAGAGTTCAATATAATGCTTTTGTATTTCATATCAATAGCCATGACAATAAAATTTATTATGAATTCTACAGAAAGCGCTATATAAACAGATGTAAATATTACACAGTTCAGTAAGAAACTAAAAAGGATGCAAACACCAAACGTGGGAATAAAATCAAAAATATTCATAATAAAGGAGCTAAATGTAAAACCAAACAGTTGACGAACAAAATATTACAAGATTATTTGGTTTCGTATAAATACATTTCTTTCAATTTCCTTGCCAAGTATTCATGTCGTTTCTCCAGACGTCGACCAACTATAAAAAGACAATTAGTAAAATATTACAACTTACTGATTTTGGCAACTTCAAGAAGTTTCTTATCTAAATCATCCTTTCTCGAGTAAGTATCAATCGTTTGCAAAATTTTACTCATCCCGTTTATCATTGATTGTCCTAGTGTACGGATTACTGGTTTCTAATAAGACAGTGAATTATGCACATAAAAATCAAAGAGATTACCATCCCACGTTCCGATTCATGTTCATTCACCTCCTCCCCATGAGTTACCGCTGTCTCACTGGAAACAAAGTATGGAAAGTAAGCTTTTTGAGGAAATTACTTCACCTGTCAACATTCAGTTACCAATACAATGCATGTGAAATATAATTGATAACAAATACGTTTAAATGAAATTTCATCACAAACCGACCATTTTTACTAAGAAATACCGTGGCACACATCACAGAAGTATTTTGATTAAATTCATTACCTCCATGCTAAATGCTAAATGATGGTCAGCTGTCTTCTTAAGTAGCAAATAGTCGTGACCAGCTCGTAATGTTGTGTGAGATTGAATCTACATGTATATACTGAAATATCTCACTGAATAGAAGACTAATTTAGTTATAGGTAAGGTTGGAGATGAAAGCTAGTGGTATGGGAAGGGACACTTCACTGGCATCAAGCTGAACTCGTCCGATGGTGTGGGTGGAGGATCTAAATTCTGTCACGTGAACCATTTACATAACATGAATTTGTCATCGCTACTTCAACGATTTGTCACACCACAAGTTGGATGGACAATATGTAAACTACTTACATATAACAAAGCAATAAAACAAGAAACACTACCAAATGACATCGAAAATAATTAGACACCTCATGCGACCAATCGGAATGACTTGATGGTTAAATGGTCGTTCCACTATGATTTAATTTGTAAAGCTGATTGTCCAAATTATGCACGTCTCGATTTTTAGGTGAAGGCTTACAGCAGGAACCATATAGGAGGAGGCATATTTCAATGATTGACAAGTGAATCAACAACACGATGTGTATAAGTGGACACTGAAATTAATAAATATATCTTTAGGGAGACTGGAAGCCATCACTATGAATAGGTAGGACTCAATACAGAAGAACTAGTGAAGCGGAACGAACTAATAATGTTCAACTTACTTTGTGTGTGCTGCAGAGATTAAGATACAGTATACCCAGACCAACAAAACGATCAATTTCATGTTGCTTTATGAGAACACAAATGTGATACAATTGAAAATGAATCAAAATCCCGCATTAAATAGGGATTTCATGGTGACCTTTCGTGTCCTCAGATATGGTATGTATGTACTTTTCATCGTAAGTAATTTTATATTGGCGTTTGTCCACAATCTGAAAAAAGGGTTAGTCATTTGAATTCTATTGACGTTATGAAAGTTAGAATATAAGATTGCGATTTGCTACGTTGGTTTAACGTTCAGTTGAGTGGGGTCATTACATTATTTACTATCAAACAAATTGTAAACAAACGCCAATATAAAATTACTTACGATGAAAAGTACATACATACCATATCTGAGGACACGAAAGGTCACCATGAAATCCCTATTTAATGCGGGATTTTGATTCATTTTCAATTGTATCACATTTGTGTTCTCATAAAGCAACATGAAATTGATCGTTTTGTTGGTCTGGGTATACTGTATCTTAATCTCTGCAGCACACACAAAGTAAGTTGAACATTATTAGTTCGTTCCGCTTCACTAGTTCTTCTGTATTGAGTCCTACCTATTCATAGTGATGGCTTCCAGTCTCCCTAAAGATATATTTATTAATTTCAGTGTCCACTTATACACATCGTGTTGTTGATTCACTTGTCAATCATTGAAATATGCCTCCTCCTATATGGTTCCTGCTGTAAGCCTTCACCTAAAAATCGAGACGTGCATAATTTGGACAATCAGCTTTACAAATTAAATCATAGTGGAACGACCATTTAACCATCAAGTCATTCCGATTGGTCGCATGAGGTGTCTAATTATTTTCGATGTCATTTGGTAGTGTTTCTTGTTTTATTGCTTTGTTATATGTAAGTAGTTTACATATTGTCCATCCAACTTGTGGTGTGACAAATCGTTGAAGTAGCGATGACAAATTCATGTTATGTAAATGGTTCACGTGACAGAATTTAGATCCTCCACCCACACCATCGGACGAGTTCAGCTTGATGCCAGTGAAGTGTCCCTTCCCATACCACTAGCTTTCATCTCCAACCTTACCTATAACTAAATTAGTCTTCTATTCAGTGAGATATTTCAGTATATACATGTAGATTCAATCTCACACAACATTACGAGCTGGTCACGACTATTTGCTACTTAAGAAGACAGCTGACCATCATTTAGCATTTAGCATGGAGGTAATGAATTTAATCAAAATACTTCTGTGATGTGTGCCACGGTATTTCTTAGTAAAAATGGTCGGTTTGTGATGAAATTTCATTTAAACGTATTTGTTATCAATTATATTTCACATGCATTGTATTGGTAACTGAATGTTGACAGGTGAAGTAATTTCCTCAAAAAGCTTACTTTCCATACTTTGTTTCCAGTGAGACAGCGGTAACTCATGGGGAGGAGGTGAATGAACATGAATCGGAACGTGGGATGGTAATCTCTTTGATTTTTATGTGCATAATTCACTGTCTTATTAGAAACCAGTAATCCGTACACTAGGACAATCAATGATAAACGGGATGAGTAAAATTTTGCAAACGATTGATACTTACTCGAGAAAGGATGATTTAGATAAGAAACTTCTTGAAGTTGCCAAAATCAGTAAGTTGTAATATTTTACTAATTGTCTTTTTATAGTTGGTCGACGTCTGGAGAAACGACATGAATACTTGGCAAGGAAATTGGAATTTTTACTCATGTTTTCAACTTGTTAACTATGTTAGGTTATTTATTTAAGTACTTCAAGCATCATCTTACTCCTATTTGTATTATGTACATTAGTAATTCACATATTTAATTTCCATGTCAATGTATTATGAATCCTTAGTTTTGTTTAGTCAACAAATATTATATGGATGTTTACGAAACATGTTGTTTTATATTTATTGTTTTCGTCCTAGGGTGTTTCTTTTTACGACACTTTTCAGTATCTTCCTAAATGTTATAAAATCCGAACTTATTGTTAAAGCGAAAATGATATTATCATCCGTTATTAATCGTTATATATCGAAATGGTAACGACTACTTTATATCTTGATCCGAGTCTTGTGCAGTCTTATTGTTTATAACGTTTTTTGATAGTCAACTATGCAAGCATAATGGTCCCAATTTTCGGATAGTTCTAAACAGGTATACTACTTTGTAAAATAGTACTTTATTTATTGTTAAATGAGTGCTTTTGGTAAAGAGATCAATGAATTGGTTTACGCTTGAATCATATTTTGTTCAAAATACGTGACTACCCATGTCAATAAAGTGTTATGCCATCAGTCGTAACTGCTTCTAAAATAACTTTGGTTTTACAGAAGTAAACAATCGTAAACATTAAATTCACTTAGTATTGTGTGTTTGAATCTTCCCATTGATGATTAGGACTACAACTGGTCAGTCTCTAGTTTGCATATGTGCATACTAAACGTATTGCCTCAATACAGCCTAAATTGACAAGCATGGTAAGCAAAGATGGATAGTTACTAGCAGTGGAATTCAGGACGCGCGTTTCGTACCATTTGGGATTCGTCAGGTAGATGTACCTGCATCAGAGTTGATGCTAGCCATTATCCATCTTCGCTTAGTAATAGGCATTATCTATAAGTCAGAATTTTATTGACCTTCACGCAAATGTTCTTTAGAATACTCAGCGCTAGCGTACGTTCTTGTTTAATGATTTTCTTCAACATCAAATGATATTACACTACTGTTTAGAACATTTTTACTTATACGTATTTCAGTTTGTTATAACTAATTAACGTAGAAATGAATATGTGAAAATAAAGGTGGTGCAACACGGAAAGTTCATTTTTATTACCAGTTAAAAATGACTCCCGAATAATGAAAATAAATTTTTATATAAAGTGAAACGATGCGTAGTGTGTGGTGTAATTTAACTATAGAGATAATTGGTAAGGGATTAGAGATGAGGACTCATCATCATGCTGAGTATTGAAAAGAAAGCTCAATAAATCTACTCATATAAAGTTTTCCCCTTGTTCCTATTCCAAATGGCGGTCATAGATATTCCATATCCTCAGTAAGTAGAAACCATCCTTGGTATGGCGATCGTATAGGTTTGTAGACTACGGAGATACAAATAACCTTACGATAAATTTAATGACGGTTGGTGATGAGGATCCAAATGTGGAGACACCAGTTACGATTGTTTTATGGGCTATACCAGGTGATTTACGAATTCAGACGTTTTTCATGGTTCACCCGTCTCAAATATTAGGCTGATTTGGTTTTCAAATTAGTGAACTAAGTCAACTGAGCTGTTTGACGTGATATCAAAAAGTAACAGAACACACAAACATTGTTACACTGTCATTATTCAATGTATGGAACATAAATGACACTTCAAAGGGAGAACTAGTTTAACAGCCATAAATGATGTAATGATAATATAATGAATATTAGTGAAATGGGTTTATTTCAAGATAGTACCCCAACAAATGAATAAACTTCACAAATAGAGTTTTGATCTAGTATTCAGGAGAAGGTAACAAGTTAAGACTAACGGTTGTATCATCTTACTAAATAATCCAGCTTATCGAATTATGAGATATTCCAGTGTATAAGCTCTGTATCAGGTGAGAAGTGCGGAAGAGAGTCCTAGTTTTCATACTGCAATGTGATATTTCAACTGTGTTGTAGCACCGTCTCCACTCTTCAGACTGATGATTACATCAGATAACGATATAACAGTTAAGATCATAAGACATTCTCAGATTTATTATTTGGTCTTCTAACAGACTGACACAAATTCTATTGTCTAACGTATTTCTCTGACATCATAAACCACTTAATTTTTTCCTTATGATTAGAGATTACAAGATGTTAGCCTATATCTGAAATTGTATTGTTTATTTTCTGAAATTCATCCTGAACATAAGAACGTAAATGTTTGTATTTTTTTCCGAGGATCTCTGGTTCCACCTTATTTTGGAATTGTACATGTCTATACTGTTGATAAATTCTCTACTGGCATGAATCTCATTAGTTCTCTATGTAATAGACTATGACAAAGACTATTTCTAAATGTGATTAACATATTTTACAATTGTATTTGTGAAACCCTCCTAGGACTGTTATAGATTATCTCTAAATTTTTCATTAGAAAAACAATCTCTATTGTTAATGCAAATAAATGATAAATTAAATTTCTGAACCAATTCGAATAGCTGATTCTGCTCCTAAACGATGACTTTACCTAGGCTAGGTTTGTAATTTTAATTAAAGATTCAAGTACTGGTACTTTGTAATTACATAATTTGCATACTTCAAGCTTACTTCTACTAAAATTGGTAACGGCTGGTCAATAAACAAAAATATACTGTGTTGGTACATTTTGGTCACAAATTGAGGTAGTTATCATTGCCTAACTTCAAAACAGATTCACCGAATTCCTATTGTTAACCTGTCATCAATGAAGCTAATCATGTTTAAGGGAAAACGGTAACTCATCAATAATATTAAATGAAATTCGCCTGAAATAAATGACTGAATTTGGAAATGTAAACTATCGAATTCGGGCTAATTATTTAAACCACCTGGTGTTTTTCAATAAACCTACAATCTATGGTTTCAATCATCTGTGTATGTGATATGTGCGTATTACTGGAGTCTCTCTGAAAGGATTTTTTAAGAATCAAAATTCTGAATTACAGGATATCGGTGCTTTTAAATAACATACTGATTGTCGACGAATTCCATAACAAATAAGCGTCATCTGTAGGCACTCTCATTGAATTTCAGGAAGATGTCTCTCTTGTGACTGCACATACAACCAGAATGCCCGGAATATCCGTTACTTGTTGATTTAGTGTGTATTCCTCACAAATGACTTAATTTAAGTGTTCAATATTAGGTGACAAGGTTAACTTATCTGAAAATGAATCTTAACTGATAACATCGAACAATTAATATGCTAAATTACTGGTCATTTCTACTTTGACGATTCCAGACAGTAATCTTCATCCAGTGATTCACTGATATTATGATTGATCAGAAAATCAATATCACAAATTTAAATCTCATATGAATTTACAAGCCGTATGCCAGTGAGATACCCTTTTATATGAATGAGAAATCTTTGAGTATATTTGTATTTTTAGTGGTCGCTTAAAAAACTACTTTTTAAACAAATAACTTTTTATTACTTAACTAAGAGAGAAATGAGTCTGAACCTTTTTCTAATGAAAATAAGTAAGGAAATGAGTGATCTTAAAACATCCAAGTTATAGACATTATCATTCCTATACTGAGATGCACTTAACTTATTTTTATATCTTGGTTTCAATCTGTTGTATCCCGTGGAGAATTATGAATGGTAACTTTGAGAACTATTTATGGGCCGATGTGATATGTATATTTCCTGTTGTATAATTGTTAAGTAACTCAACTATTCATATTCGTGTTCCTCTTATTATAAGCTTTATTTTGACTTATAGACTATTATTATACGATTTCCCATTCTTGAGTTATTCCCAGTCTATTGATTACTCTTCCCACTATTCACAGCCACATTTGGCCAAATATTGTACATATGTTATTTTCTATTTTATGGTATGATATGATCTGTTTGATTGGTATATAAACCCAGTATGTTTGTGAATAATGATTCATATTGCCGAGGCTGTTACTGGTGTTCTGGACTTTACTGGCTTGGCTAGGCATATAGCAGGGCCGATACGCACTCTAGACTGCTCGTACGGTTTTCGTGTGTCACTGTCCCAATTGACAATTCGCGGCTCTCTGATTGGCGGTCTTATAACGTCCATATATTAACAAGGCACGCACGCACTCACACGTTATAACACAATCACCTTGAATTCATTCAATATCAAACATATTGTTCTACAGTTTAACTATTTAGTTGAAAAGTGACAATACACACTTGATTTCTAGAATTCGAACAAAGTTGTGAATTGAACAATATTAAAAGTTGACATCACGAGATGTATACGGGTGGATATTTTGGTACAAATCTGGAGATAGTGAAAAACTATTTCATCTTAGGATAGTTGTAAAGCTAAATTCAATTGGTGCTGTAAATTATTATCCATCTGAATAATCGACAAAAAATGTCATTCCGATAAAATTAATAATGTTCATATAACCATAAAATTAGGGAAAAGATATTCATTAGGGCAATTATGCTTTGGTAGCTTACAATAAACTATAAAAGTTTAAAGTCTAAGTATGATAATCTCTTCAAAGTCGATGTTTATGTCCCAGAAAATCACGACAGTTGCAAGAAATGGATTTTAGCTACTAAGTCTTAAATATTTCATGATAACTACGAGAGTACAATTAACTTCGATGGAGATAGCTTGAATAATTGGTTAAAGCCATGTTTGATAAATTAATCAATTATCAGTAAAGTACTTTGGTTCAGTAGATTCAAAACATGAACACGTGAATAGATACACTACGATGAAAGTTTGAAATTCCCCTTAAAATATAAACCACAATCATTACAGATTTTTAGTAACTGAAATAAATCTGAAATTAGAATACTGTTTTTAAACATTGATGGTCATTGACTGGAAAGAAGTCACAATACTAATCTTCTTCATATTTGATCGTCAAGTATCATTAAATATTGTGGATGCGCACTGTTGAGGACTCCCACAATAGGACGAAACGGCCGTCCAGTGCTTCTAGGTTTTCCTTGGTGGTCTAGCTTCAATTGACTCATGTTTTCAACTATGAAAATATTAAAATCTCCACAAAACCCCTTCTGATAATTAAATATTAGTCAAGATATTTCTTTTTAAAAGTAATCTAATTGTTTAAACAGTGATCCTAGTAAATATAACCATCCTTTATGTGTTTACAAACAATTTTCCATAATTTTAAACTCATTTTATTTTCGTTCAATTTTCTTTTTACTCTCAAAAGTTGATATCATAACTTACAACTCTTTATAGATTTAAATATAGACAGAACAAATATTGATACAGAATAATATGAATTCATTATATTTCGTGGTTTCTCATCAGCTGATTACAACATTTCCGCTCACGTGTCTCTCTTAAATTATATGAACTCTCGCAATTCTATTCAATTATTATGTAACTCATTCTGTTTGTTTTTAATTCCATGAATCCTTCATTACCTTTAAAATTATCACACATTTTATCTTATCTGTCTTTGAACTCCACTCAACAATTACAACACCCACCCTTTATGCTTCTTTCATTCTAATATTTAATAACTTCTGACCTTTTCTTGCACATAGTTATCATTGATAACCTTTTGTCATTCCAATCCTCTACATTCAGTTATGTCAATTGTTCCATACTATTTATTACCCCAGTACTAAAACTCTAATATATATTTGGTTGTAAGCAGCTGATGAGAAACGATAAAATATGATGGATTCATTTATATTATTCTGCATCAATATTTGTTCTGTCTTTATTTAAATTCATAAAGGGAATTAATTGCATGAAATCTTGATAGATTATACTATATCTCATATTTTTAATAATCACAATTTACTCATTCAATCTCGCGCCAGAGCACTTAACCGATAGACCACTGAGCCGGCATCCGTAGGTCCTGGGTTTGAATATCGCGAGGCGAGGTCGTGGATGCGCACTGCTGAGGAATCCCATAATAGGACAAAACGGCCGTCCAGTGCCTCCAGGTTTTCCCTGGTGGTCTAGCATCAATTGATTCACGCTTTTAACTATGAAAATACTAAATCTCCTTAAAACCCCTTCTGAATAGATTATTCTTAATTTTCATATAAAAATATGTCTATAAGTAAATAAGAGACCACAACTACTGTTGGTAGTATATTTCTTAATTATACAACATTCTTTAACTAAACCATTCCTAATAGTTGAGATTATGAGTCCATTGAAAGCTAGACCACCATAGAAAATCTGGAAGCATTGAACAACCGTTTCATTTTATTGTGTAACTCCTCAGTAGTACATATCCACGATCCCACCCAGCGAGATTCGAACTCAGGACCTATCGATCTCGCACGCGAACGCTTGACCTCTAGATCATTATTTCTTTTTAATAAACTTCCAAAAAATTTTTGGGAAAAATAAATAAGTTCAATATTTCAAAATGAAAAATTAATATTGAAACATCAAACTGTATACAAATAACACTAACAAAAGATTCATCAATAGTTCCTATATTTCTTTTTAACTGTTGATTTCTTCATTACGGACAATCTACTTCAGTTTATAATAAAAAGATATATATTGATTATTGTTTGTTTGTTTTTCATAATGCATCCCATAATGATAGAACATCTTCAACAAGTTCTTTATTCTAAATTAGATGATTTTAAACAATTTTCTAGGCGTTTATTCAAACGTTTAAGTACTAAAATTTTACAGAATAAATAATCATTAATAAAATTTTAATTAATTAAACTTACAGATAACTAAAACTTCTGCTATTTTCTCACCTAGACCGTCTTCTCTGAAATAACTTTGCACTTTATTACGACATGTGGCTATGCGTTTTAAAGTTAACATTTTGAGTTTATCAGCAGTATCTAGTACCATTCTTTTCTATAATGACTTTTAAGAAAATAAATCGATTAACTTACCAGTAGCATTTCATCACCAACTTCAGGTCTTGCTCTGATAGTAATATAAGTAATAAAAAAAAGTGTTTGAGTTAATTTATGTAAACTTCACAATTTTTGATCAAATAAACAGAATCAAGATTAGATGTTTAAGAAAAATGATTACTTTCTTCTTGAATATGAGACAGATATCATAAATGGCATTCATTGAGAGTTTTTTTCTAAGTTCAAAAGGGTTAGAATGCGCAGTCAGTGGTTTTGAAGTAAAATAATATTCATGGAACCTAAGGACTTGGTTTATGTTAATTATTAATAAGTTTCAGAACAGGAAGAATATGGCTGTATATTACTTCTGATGCTTTAATCATTCTCTATCTTAGATCATTCTATAATGATAAAAATAAGTTTAGCTTCGAATTTAGATCTGCTTATAAATATTTCCTGTTATCTAAATATGTTTTAAATAGAGGTTACAACTGAGCTTTTTGGTCCCTAATACGAGTTTAATATTTAGAAAAGCGTTTGTAATCTCACTTAAATAAATTGTTACTCAGTCATTGGGATGATCCGCTTGGATTTTACAATCCAAAAAATGATGTCAACAGAAAACAGATAATAGTAATAATAAAAAACCTATAATCAATTCCACGATTAACATCAGTGAAAAAAACTAAAGTTTTAGTGGTTTATCTCTGTTGTCAATAATAATAATAATTATTATCATTTTCATGAGACGGTATTGAACATGGAACCAAGTTGATTAGAATCACAGACTTAGTCAGGAACTTGACCAAATATAAGACCTGACTATTGTCACTAACATAGTTATATATTAAAATTTTCATTACATACATTATCCATAAAATAATATGATAAAGAACTTTCCTACTTTAAAGAGATATTTGAACTTTGTACCTCAACAGTACAGTCAACAATATTTTGAAATCATATTCTGAACTTTCAGTTTGAACGAATAGTCTATAACATTTGTAAATGATTTCATTATATGTGAAAAAATTATATTTGAAATAGTCTCAACGATTGAAATATAAATAATTCCAACGTTTCGTCCAACTAACTTGTCTGGACTTCTTCAGGGAAATAATCAAAATCATCAAAGAAATGTATAGTGCTTTTTAAAAATCATATCAAAATCTCTACTACTTTTTAATCCAATCATATTTGGATGTCGAATTTTTTTGTAAACAGGATAATATGAGTCAGTTGAATGAGAATCAAGTGAAAAGTTCAAACGATGTGAATTAATGGAAACTGGATGAATTGTGTGTGTGTGTGTATGTATGTGTAAAATGAGTTATTAATGAATGATAATCAGTGTTGATATGTTTCTATGTGAAGCAAAAAGTTTAGACAAGTTAGATGGACGAAACGTTGGAATTATTTAAATTTCAATTGCTGAGACTATTTCAAATATAATTTTTTCACATATAATGAATTCTCTATATTCGGCGCCCAATTATTGTCAATCTATTCATTCTAACCTTGACGAATATAGATTTGTATAGATTTGTAAGTGATTCTTTAATCATAACCTACATATATATCTATTCAAACAACTTTTTTATTTCTACTCACATAGTATTAATACCATTATTTTATTTAAACTTCCCAATCTGATCAGTTATTTGCATGTATGTGAGTGATTTCTCTGAGATTTGATGCAACTATGGTATATCTTAATGTTTAAAAATAAAGAATTGATGAAAGAAGTTTCTAATGTGTTGATAAAGTAATTGATTAATCACAATTCTCTTATACTTCTGTTATTATAAACTGAAACAAACTTTCAAAGCACTGCTAGAAATCATGTCGAGAACTACACAGTAATCACTGTTGATGTTGGCTGAAATCTAGGTAATAAGGTAAACTAAATACATGTAAGAATGTGAACATGAAGTTCAAACCCGGTAGTTAGAAAGTGCCTTGTCCTTTGTCAGATTTGAAAATCCTGAACTTCATCTCATTTCTGTGTGACAAGTTCTATTTTTGAGACGATAAAATTACTTTGTGTTTTGTAGCTTTTGCTGATCTTTTAGGAAAACTAACTTCAAAATGAATATTCTTTTCATAGTGACTACCTTAACGAACAACTTTATCAACTTGAAGTGTCTCAAACTTTAAAATAAATTGATCTACTTAGACTTTTATGGAGTATTTACGTCCTCATATTTAGTTTAAATGTATGAGATGAATAATAGAACTGAAGTAAAAAAGCACTAAATGTATTATTCATCGAATTCTAACAAAAAGTGGATACTAGAAACTATTCTTAAACTCGATCAACATAAAATTCACATCATTAAAACAAGCTAACTTTGTCCTAATACAGTTAATTATTAATATACAGTTATATAAATTAAACTTACTCAACACAAACTAATGTTACAAGGACTAATAAACTTAAACCGAGGAGGAATTTCATACTACAGAGTAAGTTTAATGTCTAATGAAATTATCATGTCTAAGCTTTTATATTACAATTGACTAAGTAGGAATCACGCCATATTAGACAATTACGCGGATGGAGACAAACAGACAGAATGAGAGAGAGAGAGAGTGAGTGAGTGGGAAACAACTTACGGAGATGTGAGGCATCATTAGCCGTTGTAAACAACTTTCTGTGTAACAGACAAATAATAATTTATATATATTGACTATTAGTGATAAACCTGTATATCAGTTGATACACCTAATGTTTATATTTTCGAATTTTTTTAGATAAGACCCAAGTTAGCTAAATCATATGTTTATATGTTCCTAGATTAGTTCAATAAATATTACTTAGATACTTGTTCGTCAATCAACAATACAACTAATTTGTTTTTCAAAACTTCGTGTCTGATTTATAAAATTCAACAAATTTCAGGGTTTTCATTCATTTTTGTATTGTTTGTTTGAATCTACTCGTTGATATTTAGGACTGTAGTTGATCGAATCCTGGAGCAAATGTCAACTCTGGGATGCAGGTAAATCTATCTGACGCATCTCAAATAGGATGAACCATTCATCCTCGATCCCACTGCTAGCCACCATCAATCGTTGCTTGAAATTATAGGGTTATTTTGATTAATAAGACTCGTGTAATATACTGTTGATAGCATTTATAATATTTTGATTTCTACCAACAATTTAATGACTACAACAAAGATAAAATAATTAAGATGAATTTTCAAATCAACTCTTTATATACAAGATAGTGTTCCTCATTTCAACTACCAGTTCAATATTATATCTACGGTATATGTAAACTTGACAGTTAAAGAAGTTTTATTCAAGTCATAAAGTATTTGGTGAATGCAACTGTATAATTAGTGCATAATTGTGTCTTGATGTAAATGTATGTACATTTACTGTTTAGTATATAAAAGCAATTCATCGCTGATTATCTAAATAGTTTTATAACACTTACTTAAACAAAATCGAAACATTCTGCAATTAGTGAGATGTGATAATAAAGTAAAGAATGTGGGACATTATATTTACAGTGTTAACAGTAAGTCCGATGATATTTTAAACAAGCTCTAAGGTGCAGTTATGTCTAGCTAATGAGTCCCAAATGGGACGAAACGTGCGTTCTGGATTCCACAGATTGCCATAATCCATCTCTCCCTAAAATGATTATGGCCTACTAGAAATATCGAGACAATTCCCACACGTCCATATATGACTAAACAAACTGTTCAATTGAAGTCGCAAACATTAATGGGAAGATCCGAACAACCAATATTTTTGAATTCGTGTCTGTTGGTACTTCGATCTTATGAGAGTACAATTTTCATACTTTAGGAGACCATATATACATTTAATTGATTACTCCTACTGAAGTTTCCATTGTGCAATGAACAAAGTAACAATTTTGAGTATGTAGATTCATGAGTAAAAGGCGGCTTTAACTGGTTCGTTGGACCGTAAAATCTATTCAGAATCTAAACATTCACTGAACTCAGTTTTCTGCTCACATATCATGTTAATGTCTACTCTGTGTGAAATATACTCTCTCTTCGTCTCGTTTTAGATATTTCATAAGGACCAACTGTTAAATTAATGTGAATTTGAGATATAGGACCAAAGGAAGCAGTTGTATTCCATTGAATTTCTGAAAATTTAAACATAGAACATTGAAGGCATTTGGTGATAGTGAATACGAGAAATCAGAGTACTCATTTTGTTTTTGTATAATTATTTGCTTAAATATACTGCCATCGGTGTTTCAACTTGTCATCAATTAATTCATATTTTGAAATACTCGATATAATGAATGTATTAACGTTATAATTGTGTGATATCTAGTGACAGTGACAAGTTAACCCTGGAGTTGATGACGTTCATAAGTTTGAAGTGACGGTTGATGAATATCTATCCCACTTATGACATAACTGTAGATATAAATCTGTGTATTTGATAAGTTATGACTAAGATGACTGTTATACAGAACCATGAACAACTGTGAGACTTCTTTACAAGCTGTCTGTTAGAGAATAATAAGCTAACTAGTTTTTTATTTTGCAAAAGTTTATCAACTTTGAAGTATATACTCGTATAGAATATGTATTATATAACACGAAAGCGATAAAAGTACAGGCATTTACAAGATGTTCAGACAGAATAACATTTAATTATTTCCGGAAATATTAACTTGACAATTATATGTTAGAGATGTTATATATATATATATATATATATATATATATATATATATATATATATATATATATATATATATATATCCATCTCTGCTTACCATGCTTGTGAATTAAGTCTATATCGAGGCAATACGCACAGTATGCACATATGCCAATTAGGGACTGACCAGTTGCAGTCCTAACAAATCGATGGGAAGATTCAAACAAACAATACTGAATGAATTTATATATATTCATAGTTGAAATCATGAGGCAATTGAAGCTAGACCACCATGGAAAATCTAGAAACACTGGATGGCCGTTTCGTGCTATTGTGGGACTCCTTAATTGAATTAATAATCAAATGTGTATAGTGAAGCACAATTATTAATATTAGGGTTGTATGTAGATAGATTTTTAGTTCATGTTCAGTGCTAATAATTCTGTCAATTACGTATGCAGAGAAGCTCAAGAATAGTTATTTGGATAAGTATAGTGGTAAACAAGAAGACTATAATGATTCATTTATTATTTATTAAAAAGTCGAATAGGTTTATCTTGTATGCGGATCTCAAAAACTTCTAAAGTATATGTAGAAACAAAATCATTATGCTTTACGCTAATGCACTTTATTAGGTGAATAACTTATTTCCAATTTCAGTATATTTCCTAGAATGAACCAGAGTCCAGAGGTTAATCGGGACTCGATAAATACTTATGTTTTTATAATGTACACACAACGCAAAAGTAAAGTTTTTTCTATATTTTCTCCTTCCCGTTTAATTTTGGCATCCAAAAATTTAAGACCTAAGGAGCTCAGAAATGGGCTAAAACTGTAGTATCTCAAACCTTCAGTTAACCGGATACATCACTCTAGTTTATGTGAAGGCAATATGGACGGCTCATTCGTACCCTAATGACTGGTCATCATTACTACCACATTATAACTTGGTCGATAGAATTAGATCAGTATGGAGGATTAGATAATATGAAGTTAGTGATTATTAAATGACCACTTAATGTAAACGTCTAAAAACATTAAAAAATCTTGTTTCTGGAAATGTAATCGTATACTGTTATATATTCTAAGGGAGAGATCAATGTGTAGTCACTACAAACATGACTTAATGGCATGTGAGTTATTTGGTCCAATTATCTGTAAAATGGATTTTACAAATTGGGATTATTTAGATTCGGAAATGATTTTGACAAGTATTTCATAGTAATATACAATAGTATTAAACCAATAAAGCTCTATTTTATGGACAACCATATAAGTGAGACTTATATCGAATGAAAAAAAACATGAATGAATGATTGTTTGTTTATCAACTATATAATGAATATTAAAATGTGTGTGTGTTTTTGAAAAATGAACTGTTTTAGCGATGTACCTTCCCTCCCTAATCAACACAATTATAAATAATCTGTTGATATTTAGATTAGTGTCATTTATAAAATGTTTTTAACTAGTTAAAACAACTTCCTGTAATGTATTTTGTTATGTAATACATAAATACTTTAATGATTTTAATATGAAAAAGTTTTCATTTATACTAGAATATGATTGAATGATGGATAGGACATACATTGAGGAAATTACCAAATCGCATCATTAGGCAAGCCCTAACTTGGAACCCGGAAGGGAAGCGGAAAAGAGGAAGGTCAAAAAACACATTTCACCGCGAAATAGAAGCAGATATGAAACGGATGATTTTTAACTGGAAAGGTTTGTCCAAGACAGGGTTGGATGGAGAATGATGATGTGTGGCCTATGCTCCTCCACTAGGGGTAACAGGTGTAAGTAAGTAAATAAGCAATGATTGAATGATGAAGAGTATTTTCTTGACAGAGAGGATCAGTATAATGGAATGGCGTTAAAGAAATATCAGATAGGCATTTTGTTTTAATGTTATATTATGTCAACAAATAATTAAATATTTTAAATCGGTAACTTTCTTTGAAGAAATTTAAAAGACATTGTTTGCTTTTTAGTTTTATTATATACTTTTAACAGTCAATCCAATTTATAAAATATGAAGCATAAAACCTCTCCATGGTGATTTACAGATATAGTTCGTTGTAGATCAGTTGGTATATTAGGTTGAAATTTCTTGATATAATGTGTCTCTATGCTCATATCTTGTTTCGGTGGTACGGTGAGTTTTAAAACTATTTAAGCGATTTATTTTTTTTAAAGATGACTAAATTTTCATCGTTAACTATAGGAGACTATTTTTCATTTTATCAACTTAGTGATTTTGTATGTCATACATATTTATGATTGCCCTTTGAAATGTTAGATACAAGATTAGAGTCACACTAGAAAGACTAAGATAGACGTAAGTATATCTGACTGATAAATTCCAAACAGAATAAAATATGCGTTTTGCATTGAATACCCAGGTTATATCTAAACGATGGTCAAGACGTAGTACGAAGAGTTTACCTACTATAACTGAAATTATGTCAACAAACAACTACTATTAGTCTATATTGTACATTATATTCCCTTCAGTTTTCTTAATCACCAGATAAGAGTAGATGAATATGAATATTTTCTTGAAATTGATTACTTTTTTCATAAAATAATCGAAACTCATAACTATTCAGATCTAAGTTATTGTAACGAACATGATAACAAATATATTTAGCTTTTGATGCATAACTTGTAATGAAATTTGGGAAGAGAAGTAAACTGATGTCAGGATTCTATCACTTCCTCGGATACGTAGTATTTTAATGACAGGAACTTCAGAGAAAAATACATTAACATGATTGATTCAGGACACCAAATAAATCTAAACAAAGTCTTTTTGAATAATATAACAAATTCTACTAAAAATGCAGCTTAATTTGTATACAGTTTAAGATATCAGAAACTATCTTAATAAACATGACCTCTGTGTTCATAATAATTTATTACAGTCTCTCTTCCTAATTTTTGCGGTCAGCATAAACAAATTACAACTAGTTACAAATAAAATGTTAAAGTCCTTTTTATTTACCTTTTTTTCTTAATTACACTTATCATCTTTATCTTGCTAAGTAATAATTGATACGATTTATCACTTTATTCTTACGTAAATATTGTTAATATTCAGACTTGCATAGTTGAAATCATGAGTCAATTGAAGCTAGACCACTATGGAAAACCTGGAAGCACTGGACGGCCATTTCGTCCTATTGTGGACTCCTCAGCAGTGGGCATCCACAATCCCGCCTCGCGAGATTCGAATCCAGGACCTACCATGGTGATCTAGCTTCAATTGACTCATGATTTCAACTACGCAAATACTGAAATCTCCACAAAAAACCCTTCTGATTATATTCAGATTATCAAACAATCATTTCGTAGGAATTATGTGATTAGTAATTTTTTCTTGATAATCTATTCTTATTTAATTTAACCCAAGTACAACAGCTGAGGTAGAGTAATATGAATTAATTTTAATGCGTAGTTTTGTTTCAACTGCTTACAACCGGATTTGCATAGGATGCTACTAGATAGTATACATTGTTGATTGAAAAATCAGAATAACAACGATTATCTGAAATTGTTATCTAGAATTCTGATTTTTAATAAGTTGGATTCACGAATAGTTGAAGATTTAACACATGATTGAGTGAAAATCATAGATGGTTGGAAAGCTAATTTTAAGAATAAATAACACTTAGCTAAGCAAAGATTGTATAACAAGACAATAGTAATAATCACAGAACATGTAGTAATAATAATGAATTCATCATGGTAGTGAAAAATTGACAAACAACTCTCTCTGAACAAATAGATTCAGTGGGCATTTCAGTAAAAACTACCTTGGTGAAACGTGAACAAGTCACATTTTTTTATCTGTCGGCATTCTTGAATAATTTATCAACGTCAACGATATGGCGTCTGGTGATTAGATGTCGAGTTATTACCCTATTATTCATCCAAATTTGCCAAGACAACAAGAATAAACATAGTTCTTGAAGAGTGGCCTACACAGAGAAGACAATACCAGTAAAATAGGAATGGATGCTGAGTCGGATTGATGGCATTCTTGAAAATCTGAGCTACCTATTCCTGCTATCAAATTATATCCATAAGTTATCTGTTTTTGTTTTAGCACATCATTATGTCTATTAATCGCACAACCTATTCTTGCGCGTTTATGAAAAGTCCACGACCTTCTGCTGTACGAGTTACAGAAAGGTACAATCAGAGATATCGTAGTAGCTGTCAGTACGTATTGAAAAGAACGAACATTATTCAAATGTCGATTCCAGAACTGCTAACATCTAACTGGTGATCACTCAATGTTCATCGTCAGGATCGATCAAGAAATAAGAAACAGAAACTTGTTGAAATATTTTGTGTTGAGAATTATATATTAAACCAAAAATAGAATATTGAATAAAGCCATTAATAATAAGGATAATGATAATAATGAAGTAGAAACAAGACATGGATGGGATTAGTAGTTTCTCATTGAACCCCATGTCCTGTAGTACTTCATTAGATTGTTAAAACATAATTTATACTACTTAATATTAGATAGTACAATGATTAATACAACAAAAGAAGAAATCAACTGATGTATCCTGAAGGCGTTCGAGTACGGACAGTTCTACGTACGATTCGTTTAGCTGGTCTTTTAAAAGATACACCTAAAACAGATTGATTTTTAATAAGAATCTCAAAGCAAAAGTTTAGTCGAATGCTTTACAACAAGTAATATTTGGCATGTGATTGTCAGATAGTTAATAACTATATTTTAGTCGCTCTATCTTGCGAGATTTATCTAAAATCATCAACAGAAGCAGACGAATGCAAGAGAGGCTGTAGAGAATACACAGATTCAAAGCTGAAGTTTGTACATAACAGCAAAATACCTAATCGCTTGCTTTGTAATGATCACAAACCCCTTTTAATTTTTTATACTTAATAATTCGTTCTTATGATTACCTTTTAACTTTGGATGCCCGTTAATCTCCTGCTATTCCCTTCTCTGAGATAGTTCTTCAAGTTTAATTGAATAATTATCTCTCATAGTTCCTATCTACAATTTTCGACCAGCACCAAGACCTTTGCATAACCTTTTTCTGATACATGAAATTTTCGAGTACTTTACGATGCAGTCTAACCTTTTTTCACTCAATTACTAAATATGTTAACTATAAACACTATGATGTAAGTTTAGTAAATAAAACTATTTAAAAGAAGAATCACAAGTAAATGAAATACTACCAGTTAAGATAAATGGTAAACGAGTTTTTGATTAAAATGAATCCTAAGTAATGGATGAACACAGTGAAAAGATACGATAGAATAATGCCTACTTACCAGATCGTACTATTAAATCATTCATTAAATACGAGATTACCAGCCAGGATAATAGTTTATTACTTAATAAAATAAACGGCTTATATACAAAACATTAGTGACTAAATGTTATACGCTACTGGAGAGAAGAGTTTTGTAAGCTAATAACTACCGAATGAGTTAACACTTGATTTCAAATCTAATTCATGAGTCGGGACTATACTGATCCGATTCTTCTTGCTTGTATGAAGTCCTAACTCTTTATTTTTATGTCTTTTTACAGTTGGAATTACGCATCGTGCGAAAAATGAATCTAGTACAACAACCATCAGTACTTCGACCTAACAAGAATTCAAAAGAGAATGATATTTACACTTATCCAAAACTATTTCCTATAACTTTACGAAAATTAAATTCATGCCTATCATTGAGGAAATTTATTCTATTAGGTTGGTGGATTATCATAACTGGAAAGATGAATGACTTCACATCTTACGAAGAGAACTACTCAGTGACACATACCGTTTGCCTCACCAAATCTAAGATTAATCTCGACAGCAGCTGCCGCTTTGACGTGGCGGTCGGGCTTATCTATCGTGATGACTCACCCGAGCTACATTGACTAGAATGCATATTCCTTTAGGCCCTATCATCCCAAGCAGGTCGGTTGGAGAACGGTAAAACTAAAAGCAGCAACTTAAGGTCCGAGGGCGAAGTCGTACTGCTGATAGCAGTAAGATGTTTTCCTCTGAAAACCAACAATTTCAGAGGTGTTGTCTTTCCAAAACGGAGAGGCGTTAGAAAAGGTTGACTCTATAAATGTCAAACCTCACCTTACCTCATGTATTCCTGTCTCCAATAGTAAAACCTTTTGAAGAGCGGAGCTAACACATCAAACATTTTACCATAAAAAGGACATGCATGAGATTTGTGGTCACTCTTCTAGGTCACTAAGACCACCACAAATTCAGATTCTTACTCAGGTCTCTCAAGAATAAATATCCTTCCACGGTGTGGGCAACCTGAAAGTCATAACCACCCTCATGCCTCTATCAGCACCCAAATTAATCTTGTTGACGATCGAATACCTCCCTCACCTCTCGAAAATTCTTCTATCCCTACGATTGAACCTTCTCATTTTTCTTTATCACCATGCGCCATCAATGCTGACGATCAGAGATGTTGTTCCTAGTCTCCTAAAACAATACTCTAAACTACGTGTTGGAGTTTTTAATGGTTGAACCTTGTGTCAGATAGGAAATAGGCTTCTTTAGTTAAGACTCCAGAATCTCGAGCCATCGATGTATGCTTAGCCTCTAAGACGCGCATACAGGATCCAAATACTTCCATTCATTTGACCTCGTCCTGTCAATATAAAAGACCGGCACAATTTACTCTTCGGGAATCTGGGGACCTCATTGCTACTTCCCGTGGCCTCACAGGTGTAGATATGGAACTTAGTTCTAAAGCAGAACAGACTCTAATAGATTGGACTCCAATAAACAGTCGCTTGTATGCTGTCCGACTAAACGGGACAATAAGGACTCTAAAAGAGACATATGCCGTTGCCCCTTCGTTGTCTTTGCCTATACTCCCACTGATTTAAGCTTGGATGAAGTTACAGATGAATTTCACAGGAAACTATTCAACCTCCTTCAAAAAGCCAAACGCTCTGATGTAGTAATAGTGCCAGGTGATTTTAATGCTCAAGTGGGTAAACTAAACCAGAACGAAAAGCAATTAGGAGGATCTTATGGTGTTGTGGCTCAGCAAACAGTTAATAGCGACTGTCTGTTGCAACCTTGCTCAGATAACCGTCTATTTCTGGCAAATACCTACATTAAGCATAAGGAAAAACGCCATCTGACGTGGCGACCTCCATAATCCATAATGCCTTCCCCATCGTTATTTAACTTTATCATAGACATACCTTTAGAGATAACACTTTAAGGGATCGATTTTCTACCACGAGATTCACTTATTGACTTAGAATACGAAGGTGATATAGTTCTGTTTGGAGACACTGAAAAATCCAATATTTCCTGATCACATTAAGCAACAATGCAAGCGTGTTTGAGTTGGGGTTCTCTTCCTCTAAATGTAAAATGTTAATTCAGTATAGACTTGCGTCAGCACCTGAATTGACGACAAGGAGTGAAATATTTGAATGCACCGACTACTCACCTTATCTTGGGAGTCTCGTCAGCACTGATGAAATCTCAGTAGGGGTTCAGAGGACTCGATTGGCTTTCGTCAACTTGCTTCACTTGTGGCGTAGAAGAGATATCCGTCTGCCGACCAAAGGGCGAATTTACTGTGTAGCAGTTCTATCCGTTCTACTTCATGGACGTGAAACATGGCCATTAATAGAAGAAAATTCGTTGGTCACTAGTACTCTAACATAGGTATCTAAGTGGCATTTCTCATGTATTTTAAGACTACGGAGTAAGCAATGCATTGGCTAGGAAAAGAGTACTGTGTAAAGATGGGAAATCGATTAATGAGGTAGTATATCCCCATCAACCGAGGTGATTGGAACATGCTACGTATGCTCAACCATCACCTGCCTGTTGCAGGAGTATACTTCAAGAAAGCTAGGGGTTCCCAAACCAAAACATAGCATCAGTGACAATCGGACTTAGCCATGTTAATAGGTACAGACTATCCAGTTGGGGTTTGTGTGTTTATTGTAACCAATGGTTAGACTTTGAATGCGATGGCCCGAAATCATTTGCAATAGCGCAGGTGGATCTATTCCTTGGTTTCCTTAAAATTCTGACATCCCAATTTTCCCATAACTTTCTTTTGCTTTTCTCTCGCTAATATATATTTTCTTCTGGTGTCTAATCTTTCCTATTACCACTGATACTGTTACTACCTCTACTATTCTGGGATTAGGCCTGAAAACTTCATCTCTGTGATAATGGGGTGTGGCAATTTGAACTGATGCACATACGTACAGGTTCTGCGTTGTGACTGACTGACTAATCTGTGAATAATTCTGAAAAGCCTATAAATACACAAGTCAAGTTGTTATCATCAAAGTATAGAGAACAGTTTTACTCTTTTAAAGTCGACATTTTTACCGGTAATGTGACAGGTTTACTGTCTAAACTAACAGATAAGTTGTAGATGTACGATAGTAATCAAAAATTTCTTGTACAGAAATTAATATCCTATAAATCGACCAGATAAATCCACATTTACTAATAGAACGAATACAAGAAGATAAAACTTATTTTCAAGCTTCTATACAGATTAAGTAAACACTTTTGAAACGTCAGTATATATATATATATATATATATATGAAAGGTTCTCACAAAGTAAACCAATTTCACTCTTTAACATGTTGTTAACTTTCTCATTGGGACAAACAAAACTGATGCTTTTATACATCAGTTTTCAGACAAAAAATATAGACACATTCAGTGAGTCAAAAATGAACAAGTGAAAAAATACATTCACATTTTCCATGCGTACAGAAGTGTAATTATTAGAGAATGTAACAAAACAAAGAAAAAGAGTTTGCATGGTACTGAACATAAAGCTGAAACCAGACTATTATCGATTTATTTGTCATTGTTTTCTTTTGATTTGCTATCTAATTCAGAATCTGATTTCTTTTCTGCTTCTTTATCAGTTTCCATTGTAACATCCATAGGTTCGGAGGATGAAGTTGGAGGTGATTGTTTAGCATTAGTACAAGAGGAGGTGTCTGTAGCTACAGTGGAGTCTGATTTAATACTAGTACTACTACTGCCAACATTGCTAGATGTTGTTGTTACTGTTGTCGTTTGTGATGTTGTGCCTTCTTCTATGTATAGAAACGGTTCTGGTGGATTCGGTTCAGAGCCTGATACATGTGATCTGCTGCCACGACGGCCTGAAGTAGATCCACGACTTTTGTCGCGTTTCACATCTGTACTGCTTTCACTCATTTCTATATCTCCTTTAGAAGTGTGATCGTCAGACTCTTCGATTTCAACAGTTGAAACAGTGGCTGCAGCTACATCAAACTCTTCTTCATCATCATCTTCATCTTCTTCATGCATATCACTAGAAGAATCTTCATCGTCATCTTCATCTTCCTCATCATCGTCATCGTCATCCTCGTCAAGATAGGCTCCAATGGTTGATGCATGAATAAGCTCTGTTTTAGAATTAGATCCAGAGCCTAATGCAGCAGCAAGATCAGAGCTACTTGTACCACTAGCCGACCCAGTTCCTCCACCGACTCCTGATCGTTCCAAAGTAGGGCCATGTCCAAGTACATTTTCAACTAGAACTTCTGCATCTTGAGGACTCTTATCTTGCACCATCAGTATTCCACCCTGTAAATGTATTTTAAAAACTGAGTCTTAAAGTACATTCAACGAATATAAAAACGACTTCAAAATAAATTATAACCTTATTTTACAATAAAGGAAAAAGCATAAAAACTAGACATTTAGGCGAGACTAAACTATACTGCCGACCCTCGAACGAATCTTAAATGACCTTGAGAAATATTAGCCAATCAGAAGACAGTGGGTATACAGTAAAAATATATTATACAAAACTCAAAAATTAAAGGGGATACTGTTCTTTTACATGACTCAAAAACTTCTCAAGGTCAGATATAGGTTCAGACGTTCTAAAATCATAGTGCATACGGTACAGGAACACATCCATATGGCTCCATAGTAGTCGACCTCTGAAACCATGATAAGGTCTCAAAAATTCTTTTAGCCTCGACTACATAGCTTCAGTGTTGTTAGTATATTTGTATGGTTTACGGTGAGACTATAATTTATGGACGACCTTTGAATGACGCTAGAGTGACCCTGAAAGTGTCAAATAATAACTAAGACCAAATGAGGGTTATAATCCTGTAAGAAGAATTCAAATTATGATTTACAGTTCATGATTAAGGCCAGGAATTATACTTGGGTTTTTCATCACGAACTGACATCAGCTATAAAGCCAAAACTCTATTTATCCAAATGGATAATTGAATTTCGAGCCAAAATCTTATGATCACTTCTCTTGTAGACGCTAAATTATCACGTCTTCCCTAAAATCCGCTGTAAACCGATCGTACGCAAGCATCAATTACCGAACTTAGCGCCGAGACCTTGAAAACCCGCGAAAGCTTCTGATTGGCTCGGCAGTATAGTTTAGTTTCGCCGACATTTGTAATCTAAATTCACGAAATAGTCGGTTCATTTTCTGTGAATTGCTACAAGTACATGTTTGTGTACATGGTATTAAGCTACACAAATCTCGACCTGAGGACTATTGATACTATCTGAATATTGAAGCTAAATTATATAAAGAGATGTCCATAA